AAAAGTTAGATGTGATTGTTTGTGAGAGCTTTTTACTGTAGAAAAACTCAAATTCTAAACTCGAATCAGCGAAGTGAACGAGGCCTAATGTATATTTTGTTGCTTGTATTTTTTTAATAATATTTGAACGGAGGGTTTCGTAAAGAATGAGTTTGCTTATATGTGTCAACCTAGTGGAAATAAATTTTATGGGTTCTAATATCAGTTAGATGTGATTGTTTGTGAGAGCTTTTTACTGTAGAAAAACTCAAATTCTAAACTCGAATCAGCGAAGTGAACGAGGCCTAATGTATATTTTGTTGCTTGTATTTTTTTAATAATATTTGAACGGAGGGTTTCGTAAAGAATGAGTTTGCTTATATGTGTCAACCTAGTGGAAATAAATTTTATGGGTTCTAATATCAATTATTCTCTCTTTTTAATTTTTTTTTTAAACAAGTGAAAAATCTGATTAATCGGTGTCGATGCATTTCTTCAATTGAATATTTTCTTGCTTCTTTCTTTCAATGGCTATCAGATGATTTAGATTACACAATTGATATTAAATCAAGCGTTATTCATCAATCACTACAAAGCGTTATTCATCAGTCTTTTGAAGGGTGCAAAATATCTTGGTCATTATTTTGATATTCTTCCGTGTTTTTCCGTCTATATAATAAAAAAAATTGCCAACTGTCCTGAGGACTTGGGTAATGAATTTTGAATTGTATAGTATTATCTCTCTATATATATATATTCACATTTTCTTCTTTCTTTTTGTAAGGTTTATAGGATCGATGTCGATTTTTTCCACACGCAAAAAGTTGACAAATACTTAGGGCACATGTAAATATGATTTTATCCTTGACAGTATAATAATCAACTTCCAACAAACGCAAATTTTAGTTCAATTCTACTTTGACATAATTACGAAATGACTCTAAGATAGAAGCAATTCTAAATATTTAGAGAGCGAAAATACTAGTCATTCACCAACAAAATGAATATAATAAAGTCAAGTTGTAAATTCCTTCCAGGACGGTAGAGTCTCAAATTTTACTATTAATATCCAATGGATGATGCATTAATTCTGTAGTTAATTTTCGACCTTATAAAAACATTTCTTTAATCAAATTGGTTTCTGTCAAATCGAAGTCTTATTATCTTTGGAGTTAATTCTACAAATGATTTATGAGGTTTACACTTAATCTCACTTTATTCTCTGACTTTTCAAACGTTACCTAAAGGATTTTTGAGGTTTTATTTTGTTTCAGTTTCGATCATTCCATCAATTAGGCGTTAAAATTTAATAGAATATATGTAAATTAGAGTTAACATTAGAGACAGCTAAAATTTTGGGTCTATTTGTGGAAATTAACTTTAAGTTTTTTGTATTGCTTTAGTCTCTAAACTATATGTTTCTAATTTTAGTCTATAATTTATATAGATTATGTCAAATAATTAACACCAAACTAACAAAATGATCGAACTGAAACATAATAAAACTTCAAGAATTAACTGTGCGACGTTTAAAAAGTTAAGAACTAAAGTGGGATTGAGACTAAACCATATGGACTATTTGTGAGATTAACTCTTATCTTTGGTGATACTCTATTGGTCAATCGTTTGAGCAATTCATCCCTAACCAGTAGCAAACTCACAAATACTAGTATTATTCTATAAAAGTCGAAAAGCAAATTTCTGATATGAATCCAATTACATAAAAAACATCGAAAATTATTTGTTTTGAATAAGAAAATTATTAGTTGTATGTACGACACAAAATTAGGGGATAATTTTACCCTTCAGAAGAAAAAGAATAACTATTTCATGTACAGAAATTATAACACTGGACCTCCCTAATCCAAGGGGTTTGATCACCTCAATGGTACTCTTTAAATCAGACAGCACTTAAGTATTCATATAACAATGTCATCTCAAAAAATCCTCGAATAATTCAACATCATAAAATATGCATCGTTTAATTTAAATCTTACAATTGCCTTCAACAACTCTATTAATTTTTATAATAAGGTGTTCTCTCCGTAAAATCTGTCTTTATATATGAACAAAGTATACATTTCTTGTGCAAAAGTTAATGTGCATGTCCAATACATAGTGTGGTGGACTTTCCATTTTAATAGTACATCAAAGTATATACATAGCACACAAAAAGCAGGATGATATTTCATAATTAGGTTACAAAGAAATTTTCTAACAAAAAAGAAGGTTATAGCCAAATTGTTTATTGTAGGATAATGCACTTTTAACATAATTTTCTTTCGATCGTCAATATTTGGTCGTATGGGAATTAATACGATCATATATTTGGCATATTCTGTTAAGGGTCACTAACTGATCGTTAAAAGTTGATAAAAACTAAGAAAAAAAGCCACGCATAAGAGAAAAGCCTAAATGGAGAAGCTCGAAATGGACTTCAAGGGTATTTCTTTAATGCATATCCTAAATATCTTTAGCTGTAATTAGCCGATGAGATTTCATAGTAAGATGATCCTCTACTCCCATAAGTCTCTCCTTTCAAAAACGTGGTGGGGCGGCAACGGAAAAGCACTATACATCAACTTGTTTTTGTTTGATATATTTAGTTTGTATATGTTTAATTTAGTTTTTTATTGCCTTTGGATTTTGATTTCAATTTACAATGATTTTTTCTAAGAAAAAAACAGTGAATTCCATTTTGTTTGTATCTTAAATTGTTATAGTTTTAAAATGTATCGTTCTATTAGATGAAAAATGTGACGGGTATAGGAAAAGCGCTCCAATGAAAAATCTCTAACTCTGATATCGCCTAACTTTAAGTGAGAATGGAGACGGGGATGAGAATGAGGATGGAAGATAATTTCCGGTCCCCATTGCCATTTTACAGCTGATCAGAATTTTCTAGATCACCAAATCAACCTATTTGTTATGTATACACCGAAGTCCTAATTAAATTCTTCTCTAATTGGGATAATTTTTTTCAGTCAACATAACGTAAGCAATTTGGTTAGAGAGGTAGGGACCTCAATACACAATTGCCGAAATTGCAATAATAACACTTTGCTGATGACAAAATGGCAAGAATGCCCTTTTTGTCATTTTTTTACAGAGGAGTTGTGTCTGTGCAGAAGCCAAAGGAATGCCATAGTTTATCATAATTTCCTAATTATTATAAATATTGGAGTAAAAAGAAAAAAAAAAGAAAATTTCGGGAAAAAATAAAAATTAGATAAAAAAGGAAAAGAAAAGGAAAATTTTGTTTCAAATTGACCTTTCCCTTTGTCTAATCACCCCCTGAAATGTCAACCACATTCTGGTTACTTCTTTCATCCCAATACTCTCCCAAACACTTCAACTACAACAATACAACACACACATACACACACGCACACACACACACACACAATATATATATATATATATATATATATATAGATGCAGCGAACCGCTTTCATCATTTTATGAAACCCACAAGAGCTCGTTGCAGATACAACAAAAACAGCAAGTAGTACTCCAGAAGATCAGAAGAGATCAGAAAAGAGAACAACATATATACACACACACACACACACATATAAAGGTGAGTTATTGTATTTAAAGCTTAGATTTCCAGTCTCCAGCCATGGCGGATGAGTTCCGGACGAGCGGGAACTGGTGGGATTCGTCGAGATCGAATCGGTTTGAGGCCGGGACGTCGCCGTCCTCTTCGGCGCTGAACAGCTTGGGAAGCTTTGGGTGGTCGTCAACAGAAAATATGGTGGACATGAAGTCTAGGTCTTCCATGGATTCTGTGTCTGTCTCCGGTAGCTCTCCGATGGTTTTCCACGACGGCCAGAAGCTCCAAGGCTCGGACTCCGCCCCCACCGCTGCCGACCCCAACTTGCACATGATGGGTTTAGGCCTTTCTAATTCCCAAGCCATAGATTGGAATCAAGCCTTATTGTAAGTAGTACTAGTAGTGCTCTAAATTGTGCAGAAATTTGTTGAATTTTTGAGTTCAATATTTTGAGATAATTTTTTTTTTTTGGGTAAAAATCAAAAAGAAAAGAATTGGGAGAAAAAATTTTGTATCTCTAATGAATTTGTCACTAATTCATTGAGATTTTGACATGAAAGCGGCCATTTTTCTTTTCTTTCCAAAACTTATTTTCGTGGCTTTGAAATGTGTACGCAGCCGCGGAGAGAAGGCGGCACAGGAGGGCAGTTTCCGGTCGATACTACAAGAGAACATGAGCTCAAACGCGAGTTTCCAACAAGAAGCGGGGCAAATTCAATGGAGGGAGAAGTTATTTTCCGGAGATCATTCATCCTCTAGTGAGTTCAAGCAAATGAACCGGGGATTTTCACTCGACCAATCGCAGTTTAGTCCTCCTTACAGCTCCGGCGAGAGCACGGTGACGTGCCAGGGCTTGTCGAATTCTAGTTATCATCAGGTGGAATCGGCCGCTTTGTACGGAAGCCCTTCAGCCATACTAATGCAAGGCCTATTTGGACCTGATAATTCTCAGCAACAACAGTCTTCTAGCTCTTTAAGTTTACCTAATTACTCGGCGAATTATGGCTTGAACTCTAATGATCAGATAATGTCTTCTACCAATTGGTCTAGTAATAGTAGTAATAAACTGCCTCAGTTTCTGAGAAGTACTACTTCGCCTCCGAAGCAGCAGCAGCCGCCGCCGCCGCTGCCGCCGCCTTATAACAACAGTCATTTGCACTTCTCGAACAACGCCCCGTTTTGGAACGCGCCCGAATCCGCCATGAAGGATGTTCGGGCGACGTTTTTCCCGACATTGCAGCCGCAGTTTCAGACCGCAACCTTCGACGAAAAACCAAAGGTAATACCCAAACTGATATTCGCAGGAAACGATTATATTTTATGGTTAACTCATGACTAATTAATGTATCCAAAAAAAAAAAAATTGTTTAATTAGCAATGACTGAAGGAGAAGCTAATAGTGTATATACAGATATAAGATAACATAATTAGGGTTTTGATTAAGATGATTGAAATGATCTTTAAGAATTTTTCTTTTTTGGGTTTAATTTATTACTGTTTAATTATGAACAGAATATATCCGAAGTTAGGGATTCGGTTGCAGTAGTGGGGAAGAAAAGTGGAGGTGAAGCTGCATCCAATAAAAGGCCGCGAAATGATCAAACGCCATCACCTTTGCCAGCTTTTAAGGTACACATAAAAGGGCAACAATATTGTGTATTAGACCTTTCTCTGACATATACATAATACATACATATATATATATATATATATTTATGAGTTTATTGTAGGCTTTATCTTTTTAAGTTGCATAGACATGGATATGAAAACTTGTATGTGTTTATGTGAATGATCTTTATAGGTGAGGAAAGAGAAGATGGGGGACAGAATCACTGCACTCCAACAATTGGTTTCACCTTTTGGAAAGGTAAATTAAGCTTCTCAATGCTATTTCTCTGCTTTACTTAATTTCACCACCTCAAAAAAAAAAAAAAAAAAAAAAAAAAAAAAAAAAAAAAAAACTTTTACCATTAGATGATCATATTGGATTCTTAATTATGTTATATATACTTTTTTTGCCAGACTGATACTGCCTCAGTGCTCTCTGAAGCAATTGAATACATCAAGTTTCTACATGAACAAGTCACTGTAAGTCCATCATAAGGAATATCCTAATTTGTTATTAATATCGATAGATTTTTATTTTCTTTAAAAAAGAAAATATAAAATGCATGTCATTTGAATAGGAAATTCTAATGTATGCTTATTTTTTCTTTTTCCTTTGCTCATAAAATAATAGGTTTTAAGCACCCCATACATGAAAAGTGGAGCTCCCATACAGCATCAGCAGGTACATTATTTTTCTTCATACTCATCATAAAATAACCAAAATTCCATTAAGTTGTTAGAAAAAAGTTTGAGTGGAATTTACGTGTTAGGAGGACCTACTAATAGGGTATGTTTTTCAACATTAAATAAATCGTTTCAGAAGTAACCAGTTTGTAGATTTGAGGAACTTAACGAAAATTTAAGGTCTCGTTTATTTCACTAATTCGAGTTTTCAATTCCAATTTTACTATAGTTAAAAGCTTTCACAAAAATTACATCTAACTTTTTCTATTACAATGTAAAGCTCTCACATAATATTACATTTTAGCTCGAATTGAAAACTCGAATCCGCGAACTCAACGAGGTCTGTTACAATGTTGATGTGCCTATATCATATGAATCTCCCTAGGTTCAATAGACTTCTCTTGTGTTTAAACAATAATTGAAGTAAGTGTTCTTTAATGCAGAATTCTGAAAAATCTAAGGACCCCGAAGATCCCAAACAAGACCTAAGAAGTCGAGGTTTGTGCTTGGTGCCGGTTTCAAGCACTTTTCCGGTCACTCATGAGACGACAGTCGATTTTTGGACACCCACATTCGGCGGAACTTTCAGATAGAAGAAGAGATCATGAAGAAAAACGGGCGAATTATAGAGGAAAAACAAAAAGAACCCTATTCTGTTCAACTAGCTAGCTAGTATATGCACATATCTTATCAAACCCTAGCCAAGTTGGGAACGATAAGATCAGACGGAAAAATGAAAAAAAACAAAAAAACAAAAAACAAAAAACAAAAAAGAAGCAGAAAAACAGATACGCCCACGTATTGGTACCGGTAGTCTGGGGATCCATGGGAAAGGATATAATAAAATTTAGTGATAGAGAAAGAAAAGGAAATGACACTCCAAAGGGACATGCCATTGTTGGGACAGCTACAGGCAAAATGATGCAGTTTTGGCCAAGATTGGGACCATTAGGGAGAGCATATTAATTGTTGTATTAATAATTGAAGAATTATGATTAGAGAGTTGGGTTAGGAATGAGAACAGATTCTGAGCTTAGGGAAAGTTTTCTTTCTTTTTTTCTTTCTTTTTCCTTTTCTTTTTGTTTTTGATTTATAATTTATTAGTTTAGAGAAAGAATTGTTGTTAGAAGCTGAGTTAAGTAGAAGATAAAGGAGCTTTTATTCCTCTGTTGCTATATTGTGAATAGAGCTGGCACTACCTTTAGTTTAAGAGAAAAAGGAAGAAGGAAAAAAAAAAAAGAAAGAAAAAGAAAAGAGAAAAAAATTGGAAGGGAATAATGAATTTTAGAATAGAGAGGTTGAGTAAGTGTGGGGATGGCATTGGATTGGAAATCTCACTTTTTGATTTGTTTATGTGTTTGGAATATGTTAGTGGAAGTCAGAAGGTGGCCCACATTTTCTCCTTCTTTCAGGTTTCTCACATTTTAATTTTAATTTTGTTCTGTGTTTTTGTAATATATATATATTAGAACTTGAAAAACGGTACTTTTCAGATGCTATGGGGGTCATAGTTATGTTATGCTTTTTAACGAATGGTCACATTGAGGGGCTTCTATTGGAAGGGAAAGGAATGCCTCTCTCTCTCTCTCTCTCTCTCTCTCCATAAAATATTTTATCTTCTTTTGGACTCCTGAAAATTGTAAATTTGTCCTCCTTTTATCTTATTCTTGTGGGTACTTTTAATCTTCTTTTGTAATTAGCCTTGATGTGGGGTTATAGTATTCATATAATTAACGTCAAAAAAATTAGAGGATTTGAAATAATTCCTATCATATGAACACATAAATATGCAACTGAAAGTATAATTCCAGCTTCAAATGATAAAAAATAATCACTCAAAAAAATTACAAAAAAAAAGAGATAAAAAAGAAGAGAAAAAATATTCTCCAACATAAATTAGTTATTGAAATTAGCAGACAATCTAGATGACTTTTGAAGCATCTGTGTAGTTAATTTCCTTTTCTTTTAATTAAAGACAGAGAATAACTAGCGTCGAAATCAAGAGCTTTTAATATATTTCAGCTAGGTTGACACCCACTAAGAACTTCATTCTACGCCAAATTATCTTCAATAGAAAATTTATTAAATAAGAAAAAGAATTAGAATGAGAAGTGCGAAAATAAAAGAAACAAACTGCAACTAGTTGCCTATTTGTGTTTTTTTTTTTTTTTTTTTTTTTTTTTTTAAAAAAAAAATTTTTTTTTTTTTGTTTTTTTTTTTTTTTTTTTTTTTTTTTGAAAAAAAAATACTTTCTTATCTGTGCTTGTTTCATTACTACCAAAGAAAAAAAATAAATTGAGGGCTTTTCATAATTCATGAGAGAAAGTGGGCTGATAATTGAGAATATTGCTCTATATTTATAGTGTTGTGGTTGTGGTGAACATTTTGAGGTGCAATTGAACTGAGTGAAATTAATTATAACAAAACCAGTATATATCTTCCATGGTGAGATGTGGAATAATTTATAGCAAAACTGAAACTAACAAATTAAAGAGGTTTTGCCAGAATGCGTATTTATTATAAGCTCTAAAACTTTAATAAATATTTTTGTTAGTTAATTTCACAGAATCAGTACATATATGTAAGAAAAAATAGACTGTATCTTGCTCGCTCGTTCCATAATCATAAAGGTAATACATAAAATCCCAACATTCGAAAATATTCTTATAAGTGGAATGAAAAAAATACCAGCTTATAATAAAAACCTTTATGAGTTTCCCGTGGAAAAGAAACTTATTTATGAATTAAGTTCATAATAAAATTAATTATTTACTCTCCAAATTCTATACATTCCAAAAGAATTTAATCATAGCCAAGAATAAGATGTAACAAAAAAAAATGATCAATGACATTATATCTTTTCAACAATTGTACTATGTAAGTTTTATGACTCTTAAACAATTGACGGAAGAGTAGCATATCTTGTTTCAGGCCCCATCCACAGCTTGGCTGTGAAGCTACTCAATGGATATACTAAAATTATTATAATCTCTTTTATAACATTACCTTTATTGAAAAACAGTACACAAATGAAATGAAAACCCAAAGCTTCTAAAATGTCGTTCAATATTGATATTGTTATTCCCAATGGATAGCCTGTCATATGAAGAAAACATGTAACAAACTTTCTTTAGCTAATTACTACATATCCACACTTGTCTTCTATCCAAAGTAATATTATTTGTTGAATATGATTTCTCTTTAGTCTTGATTCCAGTAGTACTATATATTTGTTAGTGATTTAATTATTATCTTTTAGGATCAATTATTATCTTATATATATATATATATATATAGAAAGCGTTTCTTGACTAAAAAGCATTAGTGTTGGGAAAGAGGTTTTAATTACTAAGCAGTGATGCATGGGTTCCTACTTCATGCATACGTGTGCTAGAATCAGCAAAAGTACTGTTCCTTCTGTGCTCAAAGTTTTTAAAGAAATTTAGGCCTAGTTCGCTTCGTGGATTTGAGTTTTCAATTTGAATTGAGATGTGATATTTTCTGAGAGTTTTTATTTATAGCAGAAAAAGTTAAACGTGACATTTTTTGAGAGTTTTTAACTGTAAAAATTTATAACTAAAAACTCAAATCGGCGAAATAAACGAGACCTTAAAAGTATTTTATAAAATGTTTAAGAAAAATGCTAAACAACCCAACATGATGAGCCGGGGATAGGGATAATGAAATAAAGAAGTGGACCCCACCCCACATGTTAGTAAAGTCCATCTCGTTTCAACAGCCCGACTCGGGAAAGTCGGGTTGTTTAGAAATGCTCCAATTTAAGTGGAAAATATCCATATACAGATGTTATGTGACCATACTGAAAATTATTCAGGAACTTCTATAAAAATGTTTCCTCTGTACTACTAATACTGAAATTTTGTAATCAGCCTTTATTCTCATAAGCCACTATAAAACGCTAGATTCTTGTTTATTGGTGGCTTAAGGGAGAAAAAAAATCCCTTATCAACTATTAATACCGTTATTCTCTTCACCTTAAGGTTCATTAGTTGTTAACTAAATCTTGATTGCTGATCAAATAATTATTATGCTTTTAATATATGAAATATTCAAAGCTAAATGGAATCCAGCCATTATTTTGTTGCGGAATCATTGTTGTATACTATTCCGTAATCTTTAAATCCCTCATTTTCCACGTAGTCTAAATATAATGAAGCCACTTGTTTTGCTAATAATAATACCTTCCCTTTCACTTAATTTATAGCTTTTACTATGTACCCACGAACATTAACAAAATAATGGTCTCGTTCACTTTGCGGATTCGAGTTTTCAATTCGAGCTGAGATGTGATATTTTCTGAGAGTTTTTCACTGTAGTAGAAAAAATTAGATGTGACATTTTCTGAGAACTTTTTACTGTAGAAACTTAAAATTGAAAACTCAAATCGGTGAAATGAACGAGGCCAATGATATTTTAGCTAAAAAAACAATACTCTACACAAACTAAATTCTAAAAAGATTCTATTACAAGTCTCTCTCTCTCTCTAAAATTATTTTGGTTATGATTCCGGTCTTCTTTAGTTGTCATTCTAGGGAAACCATGGAATTTAACATTTGAAAGTTAGATATAGAAAATCACTAATGGATATGGCAGGCCTATGAAGAAAAAAGGGATGCGACGGAAAAAGCAGACAAGAAAGTTGAAGAAAACTGACTTGCTCACATGTCACTGAATTTTTTGGAAAAAAAAAAAGAAAAAAATGAAAAAAAAAGTGGTCAATTTCTTTTAGAATATCTTTCTCCTTAGTCCTTCCCTTGTGACAGATGCCTGATTGTAACATCATCCAAATTGTGCTTTTTATATGTGTGTCTCTGTGTGTGTGTGTATATTAATCTTTTGTACTGCAAAAAGAGGCCAAAATCCTTATTCAGTTTAGAATTCTCACTAGATTGCGAATGTGATTGTACCCTGGTAGAAAAATGAAAAGTAAAACTGAAAGGTTGAGCAATCTATAGTACAAGATCCAACAAATGTGACTGAATTGTTTAATTATTTCTGGTCGTTTTTTTGAGAATTCTTTCGTAGAGTATAAAAAATATCCTGAAATTAATTAAGAGGATATTAAATTATTATCATGTTATGACAATCGTGTCTATCTTTTTATTTTGAGTAATTTTAACGCGATTTAACGTTTATAAGTGCACTAATGGTAGGATATTCCTATACTGTATAAAGCTCCTTTTTTTTTTCTTCACTCTCAAAATGGTCCAATGTGAGTTCACATCCATTGATCCTTCTTACTTTTTATTCTGGTATGGTCGCACCCAAAATCTGTTAAAAAGTAGGTTTACTTTGAAAAGAAAAACAGTGAAGGAACTTGTGCGAAAATATGCTCGAGAAAACTAATTAACACCATCTCTATTTTATTATCACTATATATACAACTAAATTATAGTTATTGGTTTGCTTTTTGGTCTCTTTTTTTTTTTTCCCCCGAATGGTCTTACTTGAAAATGCTTTTTGCTTGTATTATAATGTTTTTTTGGTAGAATTTGAGATTCTGCATATAATATAGTATTATTGCCATATATTCTCAGCATCAACAAAGATTTATCCGAATCAACTTGTTTTTTTAACAACTAAAAGTGTTTTAGCAAGAAAGGTTAGCTACTACCACTCACCCAAAGAAACCTGTTTTGGAATACTAGAGCCCTAGTTCATGGACTTGAGCTATTCAAGGGACTGATCAGCCTGAATCAGGAAGACTGACTAATGAGTTTAATTTTACAGAAATAGTAGAAAAGATGCCAATATGAAAAGTTTAAAAAAATATATAGGCCAATTTTTAGTTATAGAAATTAATAGGCCATAACTTGTCAAGTTATGGTTCATAACCAGATAAGTTATGGACAAACTTGTCAAGTTATGATTTATAGTCTAACAAGTTATGGATAAAAACCGTGAATTATGGACAATAACTTGTCAAGTTATGGTTCATAACTAGACAAGTTATGGACGAAAACATTAATTTGACCTATTTATTAACTTATGTAAACTATTGGCCTATTAATTTTAATGCATCTCAAGTCTTGGCCTATTTTCCTCTTTCTCCCTTAATTTTATTTGTTTAAACTTTGGGACTTTTTCGCAGGAATTAGCCCAAGTGAAAGGGGCCCGCTTCCCATTCCCTTCTCCCGTAGCCGAATGGGAAATCCATAAGGTATACCTTTCTCATAGGGTTAAGGGTCGCAGGCTATTCAACCAGCCATAAATAAGAGCTTAAAACTAGCGCTCCTCACCAAATAGAAGCGCTGCTAAGCAACAAGGCTCAGCTAGGGGTGATGTATCTCAGCCATATTCCCAGGATCTACATATTGTTCCCTCGGGTTAGCTCCGGAAGAGGAAGCTGTCGGCGCTGGACTCATTGAGTCGGTCCGAAGGTCAAAAGAGCCCCAGGACTTGATTCTTTAAGCTTCGTAGGCTACTAGTGACGCGATAACCTTTACCAAGTCTGAACGATTGTCGACCACCAGATCCGCTGGTCTGCAATATTCACCCTAGCCCACAAGCACAAATCCTCGGCGCGGAGGTGCCAAAGAAGAATGAAAAAAAGCAAAAAGGTAAAAAAAACAAAAAAAAAACATAACCTCTGATACGATGAATAGAATAAAACCATATCGGCCAGCTTAGTCAGTCTGAAGCTGTTCCCAGCTCTTGTTTAGGTGTGATGACTATGTTTTGGTCTCCGCCCGGGTCCTTGTATGTTGAAGCTGTCAAGTCCGTACGAGGATACTATTTTAGGAGTGCGATTTCCTTTGCGTGTCGGCCCCCTTTTTCATTCAACTGGCTAGAGTAGCAATTACCATGTCTTCTTAATCTCTCTGCCGGTACGGTCAGTTTCAGACTATAAAATCTAATCAAAATCACATTAAATTGAAAAAAGTATACAGAACAAACAGTTTCTAGTGACGGTTGAAAGTATGGAACTATCGGTAGTTCATTTTTTTTTTTGCCTCTAAAATAATCTTCTTGAGATACTTTGGAAATATATCATGGTTTTTAAGGTTGGATTGACTTTTGCCATGGGTACTAAAACTATTACAAAATATACCACAATAATATCATTTAAGTTTTGTGTACTGGACAAAATTATACTTGTACTTTCGTGTAATTCATTTAGCATCATTGAATTTTGTGAGAATTTTGTGATTTTTCATGTATATATTTGTAATTTTTATAGATTTCACGATTTTTAAGTATCTTTAGCTGTGACATTCTCTGTAATAATTTATGTTTTATGACATATGTGAATCCAAACTTAAAACTTGTGGTGTTTCTTAAAGTGCCCTAAAATCTTCTCTTCATTTTTTAAGAAAGATCCATTTCAAATTCTGACCATCATAATGTCACAAAGAAAGAACCGACTGAAACTCTAAATTATTTTTGTTTTGTTTTGTTTTATTATTTTTTTGAATAAGGTTTATTATCATAATAATTATAATTAAAAAATAAAAAGAAAATAACGAAAACGATTTTTGAGAAGACATCAAAGAACAATGGCAGACGTGGAAGAGCAAACAAACTTTTTTCTTCTTTAAATCATTAACAATAACAACTATACCGTGTAACACACGTACACAAAGCATATCTGAAACAGTACAAGAATTATTACTTTGCAAGCAAATAGAAATTCTTAGGAAGAAAAAATGGATAAAAGGGGTTTTCTTGAAATGTATGTTTATGGTAAATTCAGACGCTTAAGCAGCTCCCTTGAGCCTCTTTGTGATGGTGGCAATGTACTTCCCTTGATGGAAAGCTTGCTCTAACTCGAGATCAGATGGTTGTCTTGAACCGTCACCGGCGTAAGTTCCTGCACCGTAGGGGCTTCCACCTTTAACTTTCTCCATCTCAAACATGCCAGCTCCAAATGTGTATCCAATTGGTACAAATATCATTCCGTGGTGCACAAGTTGAGTAATGGCAGTCAACCTATAACAAGTATAGTTTCGTCTTATCAATGTCTTGAACACACATTTCTCGAAAAATTATGTAGATCATAAATGAAAGTTCTAGGGAAGAAACTTACGCGGTAGTCTCTTGTCCACCACCTTGAGATCCAGTGCTGTAAAAGATCCCGGTAGGTTTACCGGCGAGCTGCTGTGTTCTCCAAAGACTGCCAGTTGCATCGAGAAATGCTTTGAATTGAGCAGCCATCATACCGTATCTTGTTGGGAACCCAAAAACAAACCCATCTGCCTCAGCAAGTTCATTTGGGGTGATTTTGGGCACGTCACTCTTTGGTGGTGCACTCATCTTCCCGAGCACCTCATCTGGAAGTGTCTCAGGAACCTGTAATATGATTGCAATAAAATCAGTGCGGTGTAAACAACAAAGTTCTGCATTGACACGGCTGTAGAAACTCAAATTAGCCCCGAAAGAGAAAAGTTCGCTAAATTTATGAACATCATTTCGGGAACCTAACAACGAACCAGGAGTCTTTTTAAGAAAAAAAGAAGTTGCATGGATTTAGTAAAGATCAAATAAATTAGAACAATACTTTTCCAGTTGCAAAAATAAACTAAAACATTTAGAAAACATGATAATAAGTCATCAAGATATTGAAATATATAAAGGAGCAAAGATGGCAAAACATTACGGAAGGGAGGCGTGCATTAAATAAAATCAGTATGACAGCGAACATGGGAGGGGACAGCCATGAAAAAAATCACCAAAACGGTATTCTGGAGGTGGAAGTTCCAACAGAAGCAGAACAAGAATGCATAATTACTGAGAATATACAAAACCTCATTGGTTGATGTTAAACGAACATGGTATTAAATAGCTACTTAGATAACAATGAAAATAAAAAGTTATGTTTAGTGTACCCTAGTATCCATGTAGTAAAGTAAATAATAGCCAATTTGAACCTTCTTTGAATTTCAACAAAAAACAACACACTAAAACTTTTATTGAATGTGCATTACTACCTGCCATAATTTGGCCTCTACACCTTCAATGGATGCCGCCCCTTCCCTGATTTTCTCTGCTAGTTTTTCTACATGTCCGTACATGGAATAGTACCTGTAAAGGAAAAGAGAATTTTAAATAGAAGAGCTATGTATAATGAAAATAATAATAGGTGTCTGATGAGGCAGAGAAAAGAACGGTAAAATTTTAACAAAACTGCGATTGAAACTAACTAACACAAGCATGCTCAATCTGACAGATAATTATAACAGAAAAATTATGTTTTGCAATTTGCATAGTGCTGGAATTTTTTTCCCCTCAATTCAACCGCTTCCATGATTACAAGTTTCATCAGTCATAATACAGCTAATTGTCCGTTGTTGTTACTACATGAGAAAAGAGTTGTTAAAATTTCTTACGTACAATGTCCTTATTTTAAGAATACTATCTAAGGATAATGTCAAAGATAATCTAAATTTGGTTTATAGAAAAATTTAGTTTGCAACAAATCACATTCAACGCTACAAACAAGCTGAAAAGACAATCTATGTTCTGAATCGACCTACTTTCCACTTTTAAACTAGCACTAAATGACCAAGAAACCAGTTGCATTTTTATTCCTTCAAACGCCATATGTCAACCCTCATTGCATATTCCTCAAGGCCATCCTAAAAGAATAACCTTTTATAATTAACAATGAAAGAGGGAAACATGTCGAGTTAATTTACACGCCAAATCATGAGAATCAAGAGGAAGTTTGATGTCATTTTGACAACAAAGCTCTGTAATTGACGGGGTCCTTTGCAACTTACGATCACAGTACACCTAAGATAATGAAAGAAGTTGCTAACCTATTCAGAGATTGCACTAACAGTTAAAAAGTCCTTTAATACTACAGTTCAACAGTGAGGATTTCCATTCAATCATGGTTTCCCATAGTTAAAACATAAAAAGTATATTCAAGATTCATCTTGTTTTGTGCCACATTCGAAATGAAGTAAATAAATTTACCACTTATGATGCCATAAGGAGTATAAGGTACAAAATGACAGAATCCGAACAGAACAAAACATAGGACTCCCTTTGCAACACAACTTTGTTGGCATGGCCCTGTGGAAATTTATCCCAAAACGAAATACCTCTACAGTACTGTAGTATTTTCTCCATTTTTTAAAAAGTTTTTAATGCGGAACTATAAAGTCTTCCAGAAGCCATTTGTGAAAAAAAATTGCAGTTATTTATCTTTTAAAGTTTACTTAAACCCATTCAATTCTCCTAAAATTATCAAATTTTGTGTATAAGATTCAAAGGGCTATACATTTAACGCATGGAAAGTAGAACGAGAGTCTTCAACATTTTTCCTTTTTGATGAACTTTTTCTACACTTCTGGTTGAATTAACATCAAAATGCCCATTAACTATCCCTATTTTTTTTTTATTGCCATTAAACTTCCAAGGTCATTAATTTTAACTACAGAGCAAGAGACTAATGCAATATATATATGAGTTCTTTAAAATGAGATGAGTTCTTTAATCACGATCTATAATAGATGGAACCTCTGCCTAAACCCAAAAAAAGAAAGATCACATCTTTTTAATCTTTTCACAATTCTACTAAAAAACCAACATAACAAAAATTTATCATAACAGGTATCTCAGAATAATTAAACACAATTAACACTAAATCAAAACCCAAATGCACCAAAACTCCAAACAATCAAAAACCCAGAAAACAGAACATAATTACACTTCAACTAATGGCTTAACCATCAATATAAAATGAAAAGAGGAATATAAACACTCATACCCAGAACAGTTCTCAGTAGCTCGAACTAAACAAAAACCAAAAAAAAAAAAAAAATGAAACGATCAAAGAAAATCACATTCCCAATGAAAAGAAAAGAAAAGGGAAAAAAACGGTACATACACAATATACACTTTCGTCGCCATTGATCGATCCTCGCGAAGCTTTTGAATTCTGATGAAGATTTCGGTTTTTTATTTTTTTTATTTTTTGAGCTAAATTCAGAGACGTTGACAACTTTTTCGCAAAATGAAAAATGGTGGCGAAACGAATAAACCAAAAGCCGTATTTATAATTGTGAGTCGAATAAAACCGACTCCAAGTTTATTATTTCTTAATTATGTCACGCCTGTCACCTAGACGACGCCGTTTAGGTGTGAGTTTTTCTTTACTTATTCTTTTGAAAGGAATTTTATTTTATTTTTTGTTTTATTATTAGGAAGGAAATGATTAATGATGATAGGGTGATGTCACGCTCATCATCATGTTCGTTGCAAACTAAAGACTCTAGAAGATGTTATTATCGGTTTTCTTTTAAGGGATTCCTGATAGCTTGTGGTTCGTTTGGTACAAGAATTTAAATTAAAGTGATTTTAATTATAATTTTAAAATTAAAATTAAAATTTATAATTTTGGATTTAAATTATGATTCTGAAATAATGATTCAGAATCAGGGGTTTGAATCACCTTGAATCAAGAGGAGAGTGGTTTTAGAATTATGATTTGAGTTAGTTTAAAACATCACATCAGATTCTGAATTATGATTCAAAATCATCCAAACCAAACACTAATTCTAAATCATGATTCAGAATCATTATTTAGAATTACTGTAAACAAATACTGATTTTGAATCAGGATCCAAAATTATGATTTTGGATCCATCTACCAAATGCTTAAATAACACTATTAACAGAAGGTGAATTATATTTATTTACTTCATTTATGAATTTCATATTGTATGACCCACACTTTATTAATGGGTGTTGGTCAATATTGTCCAATGTAAAATAACATTTTCTACTTTTTTAATAAGCACTGAAAAGTTAAAATATCAAAACAATTATGTCTTCAGCCATTAAATTTGTATTAAAAATTATTTTTACAGTATATTTTTTATATGGTATAATTTTTATCAATTCTAACAATTAAAAAATGACTTTAGTGATTAAAAGGTTTCATAAAGAAAGACCCTTTCTTTTAATGCTATTTTTTTTTTAGGAATTTCTACAATGAGACTCCTTAAAAAGACCACCAATAAAACACCTTAGTTTAACTGTTGGAGTAAGTTTACAATGGTTAAATCTGTACATGATTGTATTAAAAATTTATAATACGTCGTACAAAACTATTCATTCTATAGATTTGACCGTTAAAAAAGTACTCCAACAGCCAAAAATAAAATATTTCATGGGCTGATTTTTTAGGGGTGTTTCACTGTAGAAAAAAGTTTTTTTTTTTTTTTTTTAATTGTTAGATGAAGTTTTTTGTTAATCATTTTAGTTTTAATTTTGTGTAGTGATAACATGAGGACAAGGGGTAGGACCGTTAATGTGGGAAGAAATTGGGTGGGCATTTATTTTGGATTGTTTTCTAGTGGTGCTGGTGGACCAATAAGGAGTAGTGGTGGAGGCAAAGTGTTCATTGACAACAAAGGAGCTGACACTTTTTATGAATGTTTAACACCTTGCATGGTAATAGCGTTGCATAAGTTATAAAGTTTAGAATGTAATTTAAAATGGTGGTATCTATCACCAACCTAACTTAACGATAATTTTATATCTGATTCTATAATTTAACGATAATTTTATATCTGATTCTATTTTGAAGTTTAGAGTTTATATCTATGAGCTCTATTGCAGTTAAGAAGGATTCTCTCCTACTTGGTGCACGAAGGTCTAAATGAAGTGATTCTTTTCCCTATATGCTGAGAATGGAACGGAGAACAAGACTTAGGACCCGTTTAGTATATAAGTTTAAATTAATGTTTTTTATTATAATTTTTGAAACTCAAATTTTTTTTGAGAGAAAAACACTATAACAAAAACCATGAGTTTGTACTGTAGCTGAATTCATATACTAAACATGTACTTAGGTCTCGTCCATTTTACCGATTTGAGTTTTTAATTCCATATTTGATACGGTTAAAAGCTCTCATAAAAAGTCACATTTAACTTTTTCTGTTATCGTTAAAAATACTCAAATCAAGTCACATTTCTGTTTAAATTGAGAACTCGAATCGACGAACGGATAGAAGCCTAAATGTTTTCTTTAAGGACTAATTCTCCAAACCTCGAAAATTCAGGGGCAATCATGTAAAAAACCTATTAAAATATTAATATTTTGGTTTCGTGAGTTTTTATTTATTAAAATTGCAGATCACAATAGGTTTAATGTGCTTGACACCCTTGCTAAATTATGTTGGCATGTCTGACATTGAGATCTCAACTTACATACACTGTACTAGAATTTGCGACCTAATTCCTCTGAATTTTATATTCCATTTTAAGGTCAAGGAAACAATAAATTCGTCTAAAAATTAGTTATTAGAGTGGAGAGGACTGAATCTACGTTTACTACAATTCTATTTTTAAAACTTGCATTAAATATAAATATGTAGTTTAATACACCCATAATGTTTTGTTACGACAAAGCTGACCAATCTAATATTATGATTGAATAAGATTATAATTGGATCGAAGTTTACTATAATAAATTGAATGGATATATAGATTTGTCGGATTCAGCTTTAAGAGTCTAAAAGGTGATCTAGGCCATACACACACATCCTGAAGAAAAAGAGACTTTATTTATTTATTTTTGTTTGGAGGGATTATAGGTGAATTTATAGGGTTATTTAGGCCAATATTGTTAAGTTACATATATAAACGCTATATATATATATATATATTTATTGTATGAGTACAATGTAATTTATATATTTTTATAGAGTAACGTTTCCGGACACCAACTTAATCCCAACTCTTGTGAATTAATTGAGTTGTCATCTTTTATGATTATTTAACGTGATAGTGTTTAACACTCATCAATTAAAAATGACAACTTATGTACCACATCAGTTAGTACACAAGAATTGTGACTTGAATTGGTTGTCTCTAGTATTATTCTTTTCCATAAAATGTAGTTTGTATTCAACACATACACTATGGTCTCACTCGTTTTGTTTGTTTGAGTTTTCAATTCGAATAGAAAGATAAATTTTTATGAGAGAAAATACTGTAACAAAAATTTGAGTTGTAATTCGAATTAATAAACGAAACGAGCATTATATCTCCTTAATTAGAAATTATTATCAGGTCTAAACTTAAGATCAGTTTGGTTAGCCAAAAAAAATAAAGAAATTGTAAATTAAGTTACGCCTAGAATAAGGATATGATCAGCTCGAATTTGATTGCATAGATATATATGGACAATATTGTTGTTTATACGATATGGAGTCTATGGTGGCACAATATGGTGTGATGTTTATAGTTCGAACCCTAGTAAACACACGCACTCACTCACTTTCGTTAGCCCTAAGTGGTGTGATCAAACACACGATCCCCTTAAATGGTTGATTGCTTGCATTTTGATGCAAAATAATTTTGTTTCGGTACTTTCCAAATGGAAAAGGTGAAAATGTGCAGTTAATTACGATTTTTTTTTTTTTGGGAAAGAAAGATTAATGTTGAATCGCAGTACTGTATTACGGTGATCATTTGATTAATTAATTACGACCAAACTTTTTTAATATTCACCAAATAAATTATTGCAACGAGTTTGCAAGTCAACAATATCAACTCTTTATTGCCCATTTTGATGGCAAAATGGCGTGCAAAATTGGTTCAATGCCCACCACATCATGATAAAGAGATCTTTATAATGTTGATCAATGAAAGTTTGATGAAAGTCTAATGCAATATTTTCTCCATTGTCATGACTTCACCTAACAATAAACATGATTAGTAGCTGCTTTTAAAAGTGGACTTCAATGATTATAATCTTAATTTCCTAAATTCCGTTCACCTGAGATTTTTTTTTTCTTAATATATATAACACGAGATCGAATCCGCAACTTCTCTTTAAACCTCATCCTACCTAAACCCCAATACCATTAGACCAAACAGTCTTAGGCTTGAGTTTTTTTTTTTTTTTTTTTTTTTTTTTGTTTCCTTGGATTTTTTTTTTTTTTTTAAAAAAGAAAAAAAAAAAAAAAAAGAAGACGTAAAAAAACGTAAAAAATAGATGTTACAAACCTAGAACATAAAAGTCTAACAATGGAAAACAACCTAACAAATACATGAGCAAATATGAAAGTAGAAAATCTGGTAAAGATTTGACCAAAAAAAAAAAAAAAAAACCATAAAAATGTAGAAAAGAAAAAGTAAACCGTAATAAGTGTTTGTTAGTTTTTAGCTTGGAAACCGACAAGTTCATTAGCCATCCAAGCGAGTATACATTGAATCGTGTTTGATGGGCTTTTATTGCCTTAGAAGGTAAATATGAAGCTTTTTCACATTGTGATAACTTTAAAGAGATATGCATTTTGATGTTACAATATTAATTCTTGTCCTCCATAATTCCTTGAAGGCCACAATGGATAAAAAAGAACAAAAAAAAAAAAATGAAAATTGGCTTGTTCTTTATTTATTATCAGTAAGAGTCGCTTAAGCATTGTGTTATATTGGTTCCTGAACTTTTAATTTTAAAAATGAGCTCTCAAACTTTGATTTTTTTAGTAGTTTTATTCTAGGACATTGACAAAAGACTTTTAAAATTTCTCTAAGATAATTAGATCCCATACGCCCAATAACTAAAGTTTTTACATAGATATATAGTAAGTGCGAGAGAATTTTACATTTAATGTAATTTTTTCTATAAGAAAATATTAATTACTATGTGACTGGAATACGATTACCTTCTGTTAAAATATAAAACTATTGTTGGCCTACCTTTTAACAGTTTAAGTTTTTGGGATGTCTTGAGTTCTGAGTTCAAACTCTCGTAATTGTACTCTTTATCTCCATTTAAATTGTCATTATGTATCTCGGGCTTAAATATTCACGTGTTGGACTTTTTAATTAATTTACCCACACGATTTCTCATTGTCCAGCCTGCACGTGAAGGAGAGTGTTAAAGTATAAAATTATTGCTGGCTCACCTCATAACAGCTTAAGCTTTTTAGATGAATTGATAAACTAACACCTTCATAAAATCTTATAAATCAATCATCAATATATAATAAGGGACCGATACAAATTAAACAAATCCAAATTT